ATAGCATAGCATAGCATAGCATAGCATAGCATAGCATAGCATAGCATAGCATAGCATAGAATACTTTATTGGCCAAGTGTGATTGGACAGACAAGGAATTTGTCTTGGTGTAAATACTTTCAGTATACATAAAAGAAAAGATACATTCATTAGGAGTCAAGAATCATAAGGTACGACACTTAATGATAGTCATAGGATACAATAAGCAATCAATCATACTAGGAGACAGTCCATATAAATCGTAAGTATACAAGCGACAAAGTTACAGTCATACAGTCACAAGTGGGAGGGAAGGGGTGATAAGGAGTCATGACAAGATTTAACAGTAATAGTAGTGCAGACTTTGTAATAGTTGAACAGGGTTGAGGGAATTATTTGTTTAGCAGAGTGATGGCTTTCCGGGGAAAACTGTTCTTGTATCTAGTTATATTATTATATTATATCATATCATATTTATTATATTATATTATTATATTATATTAATTATATTATATGTTACCCAATAACTTCTCATTTCACAGGTTAACTTTAAAAAGGTCAAGTGGAAGGAGCTCCAACATAAATCCCTTCCACATAGAACCCCTTATCTCTCAGTGCATAAAGTGAACTTGTTTCTGTAACTCCCCTAGTGTAAACAAACGGGTGATATAAAGCCTGTCTATCAAAATGAAACAGTGAAAGGAGAATTACATGCATTACTTTGTATGCATTGCTCCTGTTCTGCTTTCAAAAGCATGCAGGATATTTGGCACCACCCAGTCATCCATCTCTTCTGATATGGGTGTTGTTTTAGCAACTGGGGAGAGGTTTTTATCATGCAGAAGAGGTTTGCAAAACCTTTATGTATACACTGTCCCTTTCCCTTTTTTCCTCCTAGGGTTCAACAGAAACGTATATTTGATACTGTCAAACTTGCTAATGATATGCGTGGCCGTTCTGCTTCGTGTCCTGTTTCACTGTCCATTCCAGGATCCAATCGTTCAAGTGTTGTCATGACAGCAAAGCCTTTTCATTCTGGCTTGCAATATGTGGAAGGAAAAGGACCTCAAGCTCTAAAGGCTAGCACAGAGGATGTTTCCAAGTAAGGAAACAGCAGTGTTTGAGCCTTAATTGGCTATGTTATAGTCTGTACAACTGCCTTTCCATTGGGGGGGGGGGGGATTGACAGCAGTTTTTAAGCCAAATTCTGCTTTTTTCTTGTAGGCTTTATTCAACATATAGGTTGAGTAATATCAAATAGAAAGCTGCATATAACCATTTTTCCTATCAGTAACTTAATGTTACACCTGCCACAGAAAACTTTTTTGTGTCATTCAAGTAGTTTAGTAACATCAATTTAGAATATGAACAAGCAATAAAGAAAAGGTAGCTTTACTTCTGTTGTATAGATTTCCTTCATGGAGTTTTCACCCAACTCTGTTCATTGTGGGTAGAGACAACACAAGCAATTAGGTGACAACTGTAACAGAATGGAGCTTAGTACAAATCATTTACAGTAACTACCAGAGGAGTACATTGTTGTTTTTGTTTCTTGTTCTTGTTATTGCCCCCAGTAACATGTAACATTATAAATGATTCTGAATCATTTATAAAAATAAAAATTGTGCTAAAAATTAGACAATGCCAGTATATGTTCCATTTTTTTTGTAAAAAATTTTATTTGGGTTTTCACAAAACATAATACAAATAAAATATCTATTTTTGAGAATAGCATGATCCCGGGTTATCACTTCTCCATACAGACACAAACTCAATTTCATATTCATCTTTGTATTCTATTCCATATCTTATTACTATTTTAGCATTTCCTCAGTGATTTTTCCCTTCCCTTAGTTTTCTCAACCTTGTTTTTAGTTATCTCATTCCTTTCTAAATTCAATTATATATCTTTTTCTAAGTTTCAATATCTTTCAAATCTGTCCTGTTTCAATTTCATATTTTCTTTTCTCAATTAACAAGTTTTCCCCTGTAGTTACTGATTGGAGTATGACACCTTTGTATCTTTTAATTTTTGTCCATTCAAATCTTATTTAAAACTTTAATTTATGCCTTTAAAATTATAACATTCAATATCTAACCTCTATTTTATAACACATAACTTTTGCCAATCGAATTCTGCTTGGTACATTCTTGAAATACACATTAAGTTCTTAAAGAGAAAATATATGTATAACAATAGTACATAAAATACTTATTCTATTCCAATTCAGCTCAACCATTGTTAATTACAATCTTCCATTAATATTAATTAACATCTTTAACATTTCTTTTCAATTAAATATACTTCCTTAGGAACATTTATAATATTTCCATATTTTTTTCATATTTCTTTCATATTTTTCTTCACTTAATTTTTTATAAATCATTAATAACAATTAAAATGTTCCCATCCTTTCCTAATTTCATTCTCTCATTCTCTTTATTTCATTCATTTATTAACAAACATTCCATTCCATTACAATAAGTATTTTATCTATCACTTTAATCACGCTTGTTTCATATTTTCTGTATTCATTTATATTTCTGATATAATAATGTTATCTTATGTATCTTTGCAGAATCCTCTCTTTCAATTAAATTTTCACCCATTGTCTCTATGTCTTCTAAATAGGCTTATACCTTTAATCCTTGTATGTTTTCCGTTTCTGTCCTTTATAACTTCTTTTCCTTTCCTTCTTCCCCCTCTTCTTCTCCCTCCACTTTTTGACCCCTTGTCTCTCTAATTCTAATTCTCTCTTCTGTAATCCTGTCTTCTGTTTCTCCCTAATATTGTAATTGCTTTTCAAACTGTTCTCTTTTTTTGGTTGTTTTTTCAGATCTTAAATTTTTCACTCTCTTTCCCCCCTTTCCTTTTTTTCCCCCACATAGAATTACTTGGTCATTAAAGATGGCTTCTTCTTTGTCCCGCCCTTCTTGTTCTGGAAGCGTTTCTTATTGTTTCTCATAGTTGAAGATCTCCATTTCTAAGAATTGAAATACGAAGCCAAAAAAACTTCTTCCTTCTTGTGCATCTTCTTTCTGTTTTTTAAGTTCCATTTTCAATTCTTCCAAGAGTGATGCCATTTTAAACACTTTTAAACAACCACCCGATAGATTTTAGTCATTTAAATCCAATAACCAAAAATCCAAAAATCACCAAATAATCCAAAGCTGTTTCTTGCTTTTTTCCACTTTCTTTTCCTGGGGTTCTTATTTATCTTGTTACAAAGTTTCAGTTAGAATGTATCTTTTAGGAATCTAGTTAAAGTTTCACTGTTAATTCCTTTCACTTCCAGGTGGACTCCTCCATTTTTCCACCCTTTTATTTTTTTCTTTTAAAAGGTTTTAAATATCCAAAAATCTTTATTATCTCTTTGACATTTTATTTTCAGCTTAAATGCCTATTAATGTCAAAGTGAATTTTTATCAATTTCTTATTTAAGTCTCTTAGCTGTCAATATGGGGAAGAAAAGAAAAAAAACCCAAATCTTTCCCCTTCCCTCTCTCCTTCACTGCTTCAAAAATCTTCTTTGGGAACAAGTTATTCTTTATAGTTCAAATTCCAGGGTACCTTATGTTGTTGCTTTTTCACTTCAACCCGGTCAGTCAAACCTTTCTCATCTTCCTCCTGCACAATCTTTTCCGGTCGGGTTCTTCTTTGAGGTGGCCATTTCTGACCACCGCTGCAACCGCCTTCGGGAAAGGGAGTAATGTATATGTCCTATTGATGCAATATTTAATTCTGTTTTGATAGGGAAATTCAGAAGGTGAGCCATCCAGATATCTCTTCAGAAGATGATGTAGCCACTGCATTACATAAACTTAATCTCCGTTGTCAGAATTACCTAAGTGAAAAATGGTTTTTCGAAGAAGAATGGAAGCGTAAGATACTTTTGCTGGCTGACCAAAAGGAAGAACTCACTGGCTGCACCACACCATTAGAGAACTGTCTTTCATTGAATAGCAGTTCAGAACGTGTTGATTTCTCTGGATCTTCTGGCAGCATGCGGTCTCTTCTCCCAGATAAATTGCAAATTGTCAAACCCCTTGAAGGTAAGGTGATTGAAGTCCTGTTTTCAATTACAGTTCAGTGTGAGCCTAATAAGGTTGTCTTTCATTGGCTACTTTATATCCGGTCAATGATCTGGCCTCAGGATCAGTTACCTGATCATTATCTCACAGATTACTTTCAGATATGTTTGTGTTGTCCCACAAAGGGGTGTTTGGTTCTGTTTCTTGTTATTTTGCAACCAAATTATGTATTGGAGGAAAACCATTGAATGCAATTGTATACATTTTGGTTTCTCTGCCTGACTTACCTCAGCTATTAAGCCTTCTTACAGATCTCTGTGTCTCACACCCCAACTCTATATTACTGAAAATAATCCATATCCAAGCAAGTTTTTACAATGGAACAAAAACTGTTTGGAAGCAAATAAATTCCTGCTTCTTAGTCCATTTTTTTCTTTATATGACCCTGTAATCCCCTAATTTGGGATAGAATCGGGGTGACTGAATGGAGTTGAGTGTTTACTGGCTGGATGTTCTTCCTGACACCTACATGGAGTTTGCAACAGATATTTTTTCTTTGTATCTTGAGAAAGAAACGTGCTGCTACCTAGAATTGAACTTTCAACCTACTGAGTCAGAGACGAAGGTTTTCACCACTACTAGGCTTCTTGTTTAGTCCATGAAAATGTTATCTAAATATTCACTGAAGGAAAATAAATGAGTGTTTGTTTCACCCAAATCATAATTTTCTGCTTCAAAGTAAAACTTCTTGAATTTAAAATTTGAAGGAACCACAAGTGGAAAAATCATTTCTAAATTTACTACTATTTTACAAAATCCTATCAATTTGCATTATATGCAGCAGCCTCAAGCTTTCAGTTAATACTTCTTTAGTTGGCTGCTAAGTATTAAGGTGTATGCAGTGTTTGAAGGCCTTTTGTGATTTGTACTTCTCCAGGTTCTCAGACCCTATTTCATTGGCAACAGCTGGCTCAGCCCAACCTAGGTACAATTCTTGACCCTCGCCCTGGTGTTCTCACAAAAGATTTTGCACCACTGTCTCAGGAGGATGTTTATTACCTTTCCGATTTGGAAGAAGATGAAGAAGAAAGGGATGAAGGTATAACCTTCCAAGCACAGCCCTTTCCACAGGAGGAAAGTAAACAGGCAGTGCCAAAGTCAGTGCCAGGAATTTTCCTCCCACCTGTTAAATTAGTGACAGTTTCTCATACAGGTAAGGATTTGTGGCATGACCATTACAATTTTTGTTGAATATTCTAAGTACCAACTGTTATAAATCTGCTGAAGATCAATTGTTTACTCATTCTATTATGGTGTTTGATCAGACCTATTAAAGCAGTTCAGTCCTCACGGGAAGCTATATATTCTTGAGAAATCTGTAGAATTCTATCCCACTTGCAAAAGGGTGGCTCTAGAAACATGCTTCCCACTCTCTTAAGTTACAGAGAGGGAGGGAGAGAGAGAGAGAAAATTCAGGATACACTGTTGTGTGAGGAGGAGCTTGGAAGGATTCCTTCCAAATTAGGCAGAGACTATCAATGAACAAGCTTACTGTAGTAACTCTCTTCCATTAATATAACAAGGCTTATGTATAATTACACTTGACAGTTTTAAAGTTTGAATCATGTTTTATTCACTATTTTATTGAAAAAGTGATTTTATATATACTTTCGTAGAAACAGTAAAAGATTAAATTATATTCAGTCAAGGATAATGACTAATACAGTAAAGTAGATGTTGACAAAGACATTTTTGAGCTAGTGCTCAAATAATAGTAATTGTATAGTGTGGCCATGGGATTGACTACTTCCTCCCTTGATTTCTCTCTACAAGTACAGTAGTTATTCATCATCTTTGAATGACCCCATAATCGCTTGCGGGGTGGAGTCCGGGCAATTGAATGTTTACTGACCAGATGCCCTTCCTGTTGCCAATGCGGCGTTATATTCAGCAGATAAATTCTCATCGTGCCCAGAGAGAGAAATATCTGCCTTTACCTAGAATCGAACTCACAGCCTACTGACTGTGAGGTGAGAACTCCACCTCTAGCCCATCACACCACTCAAGTACAGTAGTTATCGACTTATAAATATTTGTTTAGGTGACTTACGATCATTTTTCACACTTGCAACCATTACAGTACTCCTGTGGCTGTGTGATCAAAATTCAGGAGCTTGGCAATTGTCTCATATTTATAACTATTGCAGTGTCCCGGGGTTATGTGACCTCCTTTTGCAATCCTCTGCTAAGCAAAATCAATGGGAAGCCAGATTCGCTTAACAAACATGTTACTGCAGTGATTCACTTAACTGGCCACAAAGGTCATAAAATGGGGCAATACTCACTTAACAACTGTCTTGCAACATAAATTTTGGGGCTCTACTGTCATAGGCTGAGAACTACCTGTACTTGATTTAATTACAGCTAGTGCTTATCTTGGCATGGTACTTACCCGTCATTTAACATTAACAAATAGAATTAATCTAATTCTTGATATTAATTTGAATAGAATCCTTAAATACTATTAATTGCAAAAGTGGACTTTGGATGAAAGAAGAGCTGTAGAATGCTTGAACATGTGCCACATTTTTAACTATGATTAACAAATGGGGAAGAATATTTCAACTGTTTCCTAGTTGCCATATTCACAGTAGCCCATTCTAAAATGTGCAAAATGTGTTTAAAAGTCATAATTTATCTGCCTTAGGCATTATCTTAGAAAGATTCTTAAAGCAATGTAGATCATGTTTTCCTTCATCTATTTGCATTGAATTACTACCTTAATTACGCATTAATTCATATTTTCATTAGCCTTCTAGTATGTTTCCCATCTCCTTTTCATCATATATGTTATCTTTTGTATTGTAGCTTCCAATCCAGGAAAATGTCTTTCATCTACAAACTCTACATTTACTTTTACTACTTGTAGAATACTTCACCCATCTGATATTACACAAGTTACACCCAGGTAAGGAGGTTTACCATTACTCTTAAAAATTGGTTATATTCAGGCAATATGGAATTGAACATCTACTTGATACACTTGATATCCTAAGTTGTATTAACAGAGGGATACAGTCAAGATCAAGGGAAGTACTAATACCACTCTATAAAGCCTTAGTAAGACCACACCTAGAGTACTGCATCCAGTTTTGGTCACCACATTATAAAAAAGATGTTGAGGCTCTAGAAAAAGTACAGAGAAGAGCATCCAGGACGGTTAGGCGACTGGAGGCTAAAACATACAACGAACGGTTGCAGGAACTGGGCTTAGCTTGTCTAGTAAAGAGAAGGACCAGGGGAGACATGATAGCGGTCTTCCAATATTTGAGGGGCTGCCACAGGGAGGAAGGGATCAAGCTATTTTCTAAAGTTCCTATAGGCCAGACAAGGAATAATGGATGGAAACTGAACAAGGAGAGATTTAACCTGGAAACAAGGAGAAACTTTCTGACAGTGAGAACAATCAACCAATGGAACAGCTTGCCCTCGGAAGTTGTGGGAGCGCCATCACTTGAGACCTTCAAGAAGAGATTGGACTGCCATTTGTCAGAAATGGTGTAGGGTCTCATGCTTGGGCGGGGAGGTTGGACTAGATGACCTACAAGGTCCCTTCCAACTCTTATCTACCTGATGTACTAATTAAATTAGCAGCATTTCCATTTCAATTTTTAGAAAATAATGAAAATAAAGAAAAGGAGCTAAAGTAAGAATGTGTACAATGTAATGCAGAACTAAAATTGGCATAACACACGGAGGTTCTGATCTTAAATCCTGAATATCTCCTTCTCTTCTTACTTAGCACTTACTACAGAAGTTATTAATAACCATATTTAATGTGTTTTATCTTCTTGCTTTGTTTTCCAGTACTTTGTATTCTCCCTTGTGCTCGGGAAGTTGTAGCAGTACAAGCAGTGTAATTATGAGCTCTCCACCCATGTTGTATAAGCTTAGTACTGGAGAATTCCTTACTACCAGAAGAGATTCAACTACCACCTTCAGTAGTACTAGAAGTTTAGCAAAGCTTTTGCAAGAACGAGGCATCTCAGCCACAGTTTACAATAGTCCAGTCCAACTTGAAGCACCACTGTTTCGTCATTCCAAGATACCTGCTGTACCCTCAACACCTCCAAATTCTCCTTTGCATTCCCCTTGTTCTTCTCCTCTCCCTTTTGAGTCTCGAGCATGTGTGTCTGAAAATTTCTTGGCCTCTCGACCAGCTGAAACATTATTACATGAGCTGTATGGACAAAAACCCTCAAATTCTTCTGATGCAGGACAGCTGAAGATGAATCTAGTAGAGAGGCTAAAAAAACTGGGGATTGTTAGAGCTGTCAAACAGCCTGAGGCAGTGGGTGATAGAAAAAGTCAAAGGGAAAGTGGCTGTCTCCAAAGACAAGGCTCAGGAGTGTATGTTAGTGCAGGCAGCAATTTGATGGGGGGCTTGAGAAGAAACCATAGTCTTCCGGTCTTGATTGGAGCACTTGCAGGACCAGTCAGCACATCCTCCACAACAATGGGGGTCTTGAAAGAAGATTAAGCTATTTAGCACCAGACACTCTTAGTTGGGAAACAAAGGCTTTGAAATGGAAAGATAATAAACATGGAAGCATTAAATACAAGGTTGTTGAATGATAAAGGTATGTGGCTAAATGGGATATGAGAGGCTCAGCATAAGAAATCATAAAAATTAAGAAAGCAAAAAAATAGAGAAAACAAAATTCAGTCTTGAGACGATTGAAAAAAACTTTGTCATTATTAAAAGGAAATAATGCAAACAAAGATATTTTCTATCATTGATATTAAAAGAACAAGCAAATGTCTATGCAACTTTATTTTAAAATGTTTTATTGGATGTCATCCAAGAGATCTGTATGCATAAATAGACCATCTAAAATTATATATGATTGTAAGGAAGTACATTCTTCAAATAACAGGTGCAATCTGTTTATAGAGGTGAAATCAGTTTTATTCTAATGTAGAAAGATCAGATGAAATATTCTTTTATTTAAGCAATCTTACACAGGAGAAATCTAGGAGTGCAAAATTACTATGTACTATGTTGCACAAACAAAAAAGGGGTCAAGTTTATGTGCTTTGTGGAAGTTCTATACACATTTGGGAAGGATATATTTTGCAAGCAAGAAAGTATTTGTTATTCTATTTGTAGCTGTATTTGGAAGATGTTTGGCATATTAATGTTGGAATAATCTTGGAGAAAATTCCATACATTTGAAACACAATCAGTAGTTAATAAAAATTATCTCTTTAAAATACATTATAAAACTGACAATTTTCTGATTCTTGGAAAGCTAAGGGCCAGCTTTCAGGGAGAAACTTCGTGATATTTACAAAATAATCGGCACAGCTAATTATATTAATGTGAAACAGAATGACAGCTATTGAAGGTGCAGTAGACAAAGAATTGCCATTCATAATTAAGTCTAAGATAAATTCCAAGCTTAATGTTTCTGAAGCAATTTTGGAACGGCAGAATTTTGTGTTTCACAAAATGAGCACAGTGGGATAGCTGTGAATGTGAAGCAGAAACAGGAAGGAGAAAAGGCACAAGTGGCTCAGATTTTTCTTTTATACTTGGATAACCCAAGCAAGAGATTCTTAAAATATGCACATCTCATTTGCTCAATTAATTGCTAATCAAAAAATACTTGCAAAGAATGTCATGACTGCACTAAGCTGCTTGATTTATGGTTATGATGAGCAAATATAGCCTTCTTGCCATAGATCAAGCAGTAGATAATTAAGATAAAAGTTGAATAGTTTGAAAATTAAGCACAGAAAATGACTATATGATTTACCTGTGGGTTTTATAAGGCTATTCTATATATTAAAGACATCATGTGGTGCATTCAGAAATACTAAATGGACTGGATGTAAACAATTCAGGTAGCTTTATCAATAAATCAAAAATAAGGGCTTTCCCCCCCTTAAATAGGCATTCTAGGTGAAGATTTGGAAAGATTCCTTTAAGCAAATGTTGTCAAAGTTGCAAACAGCCATGCAAATAGCTTATCAATTCAGTCTCAGTATCAATCAATGAGCTTGGCACCATTGGTTGCAGCTACTAAATTGTAAATGGTGCTTGTAAATAGTAAAAATGTATTTATTTTAAGCCTCTATATACGGGTTAATGCTATTTAAATTATAAGTATATTTTAATTTGTTTTTAAGCTTGTAAAATGCATTTCCTTTGTGATGTTTAAAAACTTGCTTTCCTTGGCAAGATAAATAAAAGGGAATATTTAAGTTGGGTTCCAAAGCAGCCTACCATACTTTTATATAAACAGAGAAAAACCTGACTAATGAAACAGAAGCATTCAAGATCATCCTCATTAACTACAGGGAACCAAGCACAATATTTCAACTACTGTGGATTTGATGCATGTCAGTTTTATATACTATGTAAATTCTTTTTACATCGTAGTAATTTTGAATGAGCATTCCTAATTGGATTTCATATCTTTGTCTTCTTAAATTATTTGCATTGGAATGATTTAAAAGAAAGTCTGATTTTAAAAGGTTTTCTTCTGCCACTGATAACACCTCGTAAATCAGACTTCTTTCTTTTCAACCATATCCTATAAAATTTTGTAAAACTATTAAGTAAATACAGGTTTATTTGAAAAGTTCTTTTTTTATTTTTCCAAGTATGACTTTATCTAAGATGTCATATTCTGATTTTTTTTTTTTTTACTTGGGGCTGACTTACATTTTTTGCCTTCTGTATTCATAATGAGTGTGCAACCAGTAGCAGAAAAATCAAAATCTACTTAGGTCCAATGTTAAAATGCTAATTGAATAGCATGCCTGAAGATCCTCCTGTTAAAAAAAAATAGCTGGAAGCTAGAGGAGCAGTACTTTTGTGCCAAAGCTCTTAAAAAATGAGCCTTGGAAATAGCAAACAGATGAAGAAATAACAATCAGTATAGTTACAAGAAATTACATTACAATGGAACATCGCAGATAGCTGGTGTTATAATGAATGACCCATCTTGCGGGATGGATACAACTAACAATAATAACCCTATAGGATCCTTAGAAGAATTATCATGATCACTTTCATATGTACGGTACTTTGATACCATATTTAAGTGCCAATTTTTCATGAAGAAATAGATGCTCGTGATTTAAAACCATATTGTTAAATATTTCATTATCTGAATTCTTTATATGTTTCATAACAATATGTATGCTTCAGTCTGCTTGAATGAAACGAATGCTTTTTTAAAAAAAAACCAAATATATCTATTTTAATATGCAAATATAGATGTCATTTTTTCTGCAGACAAAACTTGAAATGCATTTCATTTGAGATATTATTTCAACTATAATTCAATTTACATAAAAAAGGCTATTATTTCTTTTTGGCTTTCCCATTAGAATGTGCATTTCTTAAAGTTATAATCTGTGACAGGTTGTTTTTGCATATTATAGTCAAATTGAAGCTTGATAATAAACATAATAAAACCCATTTTTTTTACATATTTCGGTGGCATGGTGTTTTCTTCTATGCATCAATATTTATTTATTTTAAAATGTATGCCTCTATTCCTAGAGGGGACTACCAATATTTAAATATATTTAAACTAACAGTAAGTAAAATATTGTGACAGTCTTTAATAGTCTAGATAGACCATGGGTGTCAAACTCATTTGTATCACATTACACATGGTAACATTTCTTGCCTTTGCAGAGCTGGGGTGGGCATGGACTGTGCGTGATGAATCCGGCCTGCGGGCTGCCAGTTTGACACTCCTAGTCTAGACAAACAATCTTGATCATAACAGATTAATAGTAATTAAAAATAAGACTATTCAATTTGAACCAGTTTCTTGAAGTGCCAGATTTATGTATACTGTCTAAATACAATATAATATTAATTATTAGTTAGTAGACTATTCTACAGAGTGGCAAAAATGACTGAAGAATTAGACTTTATGGGTCAAACTTCATGGAACTGGGGAATACAGAATAAGCACCATGTAGATTAGGGCTGTCAAACTCCTGGCCAGCCGGCCAGATGTGTCACATTCTGGCCATGCCCATGCCTGGTTTAGCAAAAGTGGGGGAAACCCTGATACATCACGTAACATTGCCATGACAATGTGAGTTTGACACCCCGATGTAGATTATTAGAGATATGGTGGCAGCCATTGCATTTAGTATTCAAATAACCTGGTGCAACCTGGGGAAAAGCTGCTGCATTTGGTTCCAGTTCCAGTTGCAATTTTTGGGTATTTGGGTAGCCATCTTTATATTGAACATAGTACAATTTACAATCTGAAGATAACTAAAGCATGAATGAATTTAGAAAGGCCTATTTTTGGAAAAGTAATGTGGGTTGATCAGTCCAAACTGGAAATATTCTTTTAATCCAATTCCAACTTGCAAAACTAATAGGAAATATTTTAAATAAAATTATTTGCATTCTAAAAGAACTTTTTTCTTGTTAAGATAAACATTCGTGTTTTAGTAATCTATCGCAATTGCCTTTCTACTAGAATACAACCTAATGTAATCACACAGAGAAGGAAGTATCCTTTGCAGAGTTTACTTCCTTTGGACAATAATAGGATGGGGGGGGGCAAGACTGTACCACGTAGAATGCTATTAGCCACCAGCAGTTGTCCTGCACCACCAGCACATTCTATCTTCCAGCAGTGAATGGAATCCATTTTTCTGTATTTGGGTACTGTTAGGAATGATAGTCACCTAACAGTTGGGTTGGTAATATATAAACCAGGATAGTCATTTAATACTGTTGTATTTGAAGAGAATGTTGCAATTGTGATTGTCTGAGGTTCCTCCAACGGCCATTAGATGGAGCCAGAAACCTGGTTTCTTCTTTTTTGCATTTCTTTTGCTTTCCTTTTGCCTTTTGCCTGATCGTCATTCTGCTTGAATTTCTGTGAGTCTTGCAACTATTCGCAAACTCCGTTTACTAAACTTTGTTTATGATACTGGTAACGAAAAGGACTTCGTTTATGGATTATCCCTGGACTGATTATTTTGAATACTAACTGCTTTAACCACGTATGATTTGGACTGTTTGTTGGACTTTGTTTACCCGTTTACAGGAAGTAAAACTTACATTTTACTACTCAGTGTATCCGTGTGCTGGTTATGTGTTATCACCACTCCCACTATGTTTCCCTGAGTGCACTCATTCTCCTAACGGGGAATACCTCAACACTGGTTATGGGCCCAGGCTCAGATAACTGAGAGTTAGTGTGAATACACACTAGAGTTAGTGTGAATACACAGTACGATATACATATGGCTGTCTATTGTTTAATTGTGGGTTACTGTCCTGGTAAAGATGGCACAAGACCCATCAACAAGTCTATCACTGATAACCCGGTTGGATGGAACAAACTATGTTTTCTGGTTTATGAAGTGCAGTCTACTTCTGCATAGGGAAAGGTTATGGGTTGCAGTTGAGGATCCACTGGATGTAAATGCTTGGGATCCAGATGATGAGGACGATGCCAAAAAGTTAGCTGACTTTAAATGGAACAATGAATGAGCTCTTTGTATAATTGGACTAACACTGAGTGACCAGCAGCTAGTCCATATTCGTGGAGAAGAGTCTGCTGCTAGGTATTGGGAAAATTTGAAGAGGATTTATGTTCGTGATAGTGTAGGTGCACACATACATCTTACACGTAAACTGTTTAGAGCACGTCTTCTGAAACGTGGAGATAAGTTAGCCCATTTGAACTTTATGAAAAGAACTTTTCAAGAGCAACATGAAAAGGAACTGATTTTTTCAGAGCTGCATCAGGTTTACATCATTCTTCCCTCGTTGGATGAAAGTTATGATGATTACGTATCTTCACTGGAAGTCCTGGCCAGAAATGAACTGACATTGACTGACATAACCAAATGGTTGTTAGAAGAGGCAAGAAGAAGGCAGGATAGAGACCAACTGAGAGAGAAACAACCACAAGAAGAGGATTTGTTTTCAACTGCCTGTACTGTTAGGAAATGTTTTTCTTGTGGGACTAGGGGACATATAGCTAGATTCTGTAAGAAGGGAAAATGACAGAATACTGGTAATCATCAGAAGGCTAAGAAGAATGTTAATTTAGCTATGTCTAGCAATTCAACTGTAAACCATGATTTGTGGGTAGTTGATAGTGGAGCATGGCAGTGCATTACTAGAAATAGAGGTTTGTAAAGATGTCCACGAGTAAGCAACATGTATCATTGGCAAATGGATGGAAGATGAAAGCATCTGGTGAAGGTACTGCGTATTGTTCATGTGTAAATAAGCATTTAACTATGTTGTAGTATGAAATTTAATTTGTTATCAGTAAGGGCTTTAGTTAATATTGGTTATGTAGTAACCTTTAGGGGTTAATAGAGAAAGAGGGTAAAAGTGTTACTGCTACTTTAGAGAATGATTTATATGTTATACATGATGACCAATTGCAGATGGCTAACTCAGTTTATAACAATGTTAAGCCACATGACAAATGTATACATTTTACTGCATAGATGTCTGGGGCACATTAATTTCAAAATGCTGAAACAAACTGTTGAATTGTCAGAGGGAGTAAAATTAAAACCCTGTAGCAAGTACTTAAACTGTAATGCCTGTAATCAGGAGAAAAGCAAAGTTACTCCAACAAACAGACTGAATGAGTTTAAGACCATAGAACCTTTAGAGGTTGTTTTTGCTGACTTAATTGTTCCTAAGACAACCAGTTTGGGAGGTGCCTGCTATATTTTGAGCATAATGGTATGGTTTCTGCTACCTAATGAAAAACAAAACAGAAACGTTCCAACATTTCTTTAACTGGCTAAGATTTGCTGAAAGGAAAATGAGACATAGGGTAATTACCTTAGTTACAGATAATGGGACTGAGTTTATTAACACTAGATTCCAAATGATGTTGAAATTGGCTGGTGTCAAGCATAAGCATTCTGCCACTTACAGGCCACAACATAACTCGTTTATAGAATGAAGGGGGCAAACGTTACAAGCCATGACTCGCACTATGTTATCTGATTCAGATATGCCTGAAAAACTGTGGGGTGAAGCCATAATGTGTACCAACCATGTTTTAAATAATGTGGTGAACACAACTGGTGAATTGCCATTCACTTGTTGGCATGGCAAAAAACCAAATTTAAGTTATCTACACACATTTGGAGCTCCAGCATGGGTGCATATTCCCTCACAAGTAAGACTGAAAGGGCAACATAGAGCTAGGAAATTATTTTTCGTAGGTTACGAGGCCAACCATAGATCGTTTAGATTCTGGGCTCCACGCACAGCTAATGTTTACTGTAGCGCTAGTGCTAAATTTCTTGAGCACGTTGGGTGGCATAAACTAGAACAGGAATCCAACAATGATGTTATTATTGACATCCAAGTAGTCCCTAACAATGAGATAGTTAAATCATCAATAGCCATTAGAAAGGAAGAACAGGTACAGGAGGAGGTAGAAGAACAGGAGCAGGTGGAACATGAGAGTCCACCAGTAAGTCCTGAGTTGCCTAGACATTCAACCCATGTAACATGACACTAGATAGATATCAGGCTAGTATAGCATGCCAAATAAATATAGTTCCTACTAACTATAATGAACTGAAACTGTATCCTTCTAAGGTTCAGGATGCTTGGCAGGAAGCAATGGATAAGGAACTGAAATCCTTACAAAGGTTGGAGGTATATGAAAATGTCAGGTTACCACCAGGTAAGCATACCATAGGGTGTAAGTGGATTTATAAAATTAAGACAGGTATGGATGGGACTGTTACCCATAAAGCCAGGTTAGTAGAACAAGGGTTCGATCAGTCAGCCAATGACTGCACCTAGTCTGAAGGCTACCACATTACAAGCAGCATTAGTGTGGGCAGCTAAGAAGAAATACACAATAAACCATTTAGATGTTGAGCTGGCATATCTACATGCACTGTTGCAACATACTATATATTTAAAGAAGGCTTTGGGGATCAAAACTGATAACAAAGCTGATTGCTGGAGATTAAAAAAGAGTCTTTATGGCGTGAAGCAATCAGGCTATGAATGGAACCAGTGCATAGTGAAGGAATTAACAAAGATAGGTTTTGTAGCTGGCATGGCTGATCCATGTTTATTCAAAAAGGAAAGTGATGGTGTATTTTCATTGTTGCTATTGTTCACTGATGACATAGCATTAATCACTAAAACTGAGCAAGAAGCTACTGGGTTTATTTCACTGTTAGAGAAGAAATTTAAAATCAAACATTTAGGTGAGATTAAACAGTATCTTTGTTTGAAAATAGATAAAACTAAGGGAGGCTACAAAATCTCACAGGCAGATAAAGTTAACCAGTTACTGAAGAACTTTAAAATGGAACTTTGTAAACAGGCTAAGACACCAAT